AAAAAATTAACTCCATATGAATGTTAGGTGTCTAGTCATGAAACTCGTCTACGGCCTAGACGTAGAGTTGTCCAGTTGAGGGAACTCAGATACGTACGTGGTTCGTTTCACCCGCTGAATCTGAGTTGCCCCGCCGTCTTCACCATGATCAGGAACAGAGTCATCGACGTAGCAATAATATGGGCGGTGGTGGTACCGGGTGCGAAAGTCGTCGGTCGCCGGATGCTGAACGGTGGTGACCAAGATGGCGGCGAGATGAATCTGTTCCTGATCATGGTGAAGACGGCGGGGCAAGTCATCGACGACGTGGTTCGTTTCACCCTTGATGGGCTGAGTGGTAAAACTGAACTCATATTATTCGCGTCACCAATGTGTCTGTCGAGGGACAAATTTGAGCTTCGTAAGAAAACCCTAGACAACAAAGTTATCCCTGCATACCGTGAAGAGCACCCCGTGCAGGTAATGACATCAATGATGGGTGACATAAACTATTGTGAAAACCTCGCATTCATCAACAGTGTAATTTATCTCGACTAACAGTAACTGACAGGAGTAGAAGATAATCGGGCAATCCCCAACGCGAGTCTCGACAGTCCCATCCTCCGTGATGATCAAAAAGTAAGTAATAGGAGGATTGTCAGTGGAGGACAGTGGTGGAAAAGTAAGTCAGTCGAGAAACAATGTCACTAGGAGGGAAAGGAAAATGAGGATAAGGGAAATCGGGTGTAGTGAGAAACACATGAGAAAATACAACTCCTATTGCAAAATCTGACGAATCAATGATGACTATGAAGGGACGATAAAAATCGGGGAGGCGAAGAATCGACTTAAAAATCACCATCTTCTTGAGGGCGTGAAAAAAATCCTCGTAGAGGAGTGTCCAAAACCATGGCGGGTTCTTGCGGAGGAGGGTGGAGGTAAGGACGTAAGAGTATGTGGCATGCTATCAGTTGAAGTTTCTATAGTAACTAGTGAGTCTGAAAAAACTGCGAAGCTGCGCAACGCATGTGGGGGCGGGTCACTCATCAATAGCAGTGTTTGTTGCATCATCTATGTGGAGACCCTGGTCAAACACATAATGTCATAAAAAGTTAACTTTGCTCTGGGCAAAGCAACACCTACCAAGATTGACATAAAAGTCATGCTTGCGTAACTGCTATAGGACATTACATAGGTATCTACGATGGTCTTTTAAGGTACTACTGTAAACGAAGATGCCGTTCAGATACATGAGAACCTACTCTTCAAGGATGTCCTTGAAGATATCGTTCATCGTCGTCTAGAAGGTGGCGGGTGCATTGGTGAGACAAAATGGTATCACAGTGAACTTGTTGTGGTCAAAGCGTGATCGAAATGCAAACTTTTGTTGATCCTCTGCGGCAATGTGGGTCTGGTGGTCACCGTTACGAAGATCGTTTTTCGTAAAGAAGCGATTGTCTGTCAGACGATCAAACATCTCATCCGTTCGAGATATGGGATACGTGTTCTTAACAGTGTAACGGTGGATGTAATGATAATCGATGCAAGTCAGAGAGTTCTGTCCGCTGCGAGCAAAGAGGACGGATGCACAATAAAAGGAGTTATTGGGTTGAATAAAACCCAGTCGAAGAACTTCCTCAAACTGATGCTGGAGTGAGAGTCGGTAGGGTGTCTGATGGTGGATACGATAATCAAACACGAGCTGGATAAAATGCTCATCACCATCCATCAGAGGAATTCCGCTATATTGGAAAGACACATGAAAAACGTTGTGGTACTCAACAATCAAGTCGTGAACGACGGACTCTAAATCGGCCGTTAGCCGTGTGAGTTCTTCAATGTCTGTGTCAGTGCAAGATATATATGTGGAGTCGACAGTGAGTGGTGTAGGAACCTTAGATGTCAAAGGTGTATCTGCAGGATGAGAGGTAGATAGAGAGGTGGAAGCCACAAAAGTGGAGGAATGGTCGAGGGGTTCGGGTTACAAGGAGATGAGCTCCACGTCGGGACATAGAAAATTGTAATGAAAAATATCCATAACGTTTACGGAGTAGAGGGTGACGTTCGCCTAACGCAGAAAGTGAGCGAACTGGCGAGGGGAAATGAAGACAATGGTGGACAAGAGTTATGGGGAGGTTAGTAAAAAAACGGTGTTTTCGTTAAAAATGAAATGTTTTGTAAAGAGTGAACATAATGAAATTAACAAATCTGCCATAACAAAAGTAAATTTAACAACAAGAGCAGAGGATTATATCCCAACCTTTCATAACATGAATACATCCATTCTATCGCAAAATCCAAGAAGTCATATTCAATTTATTATATTAATTATAATACCAAACTTACACAACATAGATACATATTGCAAAACGTGATACTCAGTGAGTGTCGGATCAAGTTGAACTTGACAATATTTCAATCAGTTCGGAATCTGATGTTCCTTGAACTTAAAGGCGTACATGTAAGAACATTATGAAAAACCTTGCATGTGACCTTAGAAGAAAATTTAAAGATCTGTTAATATTTGACAGCAAAGTGCAGCGGACATTCCAAAAACACGTACAAAAATCCTGCTTAACTACAACAACACAATTAAATGAAAACACGTGCAAAAGTTCAACATCAAAAGCAATTTGAAAGCAGTGTCACCCATAAACTGTCAAAACACAAACCTTAGTTCGAATCCCGCTGAACTCGGATAACCAAATAACTCTATATTAATGCAGGACTGGGCTATTCGAACTTAGRTGATGTCTCAARGCCATTGACCGAGTAAGAAAAAAAAAAATTAAATGCAAAGCACAAATGACACTCCGAAAGTAGGCAAAACAAGCCTAGTAACTAGATCGACTTAGGGGATAAACTAATGCGATCAAGACAACATTTAAGTCCGTCCTTGTATAAGTTAGTAGGCAAAACAAGCCTAGTAACGAGATCGACTTAGGGGATAAACTAATGCGATCAAGACAACATTTCAGTCTGTCCTTGTATAAGTTGTCCAATCTTCGACAATGATGGTATCAGTTTGTCCGTCAATCGCCGGATCCTTATACTCTATATAACTTTCTGTCACTTCATATTCGCGCAACAGGAGACTTCGCAAATATTTGATGGCCGTGTCCACAAGCCCATCCATGAGTATTTTGAGTGATGGTTGCTCCATGATCCTCCTTCGGAATTATTGCCGTCGTCGTTCATCGATGTTTCTGCATTGAAAACACTTGCACTTGCAGAATAGTCATTATGAATAAGGAAAGATACTTTGCATCGACCTCGAACAGTTGCCGCTGCACAAACCAAGGTCATCACGTTGAAATTGTTGTGGCAGAATTTGACTGCTGAATAATACAATTCCGAAAAGGGTGCGAGCACTTCTCGCGCGTATGTTCTCGTTCCATAACACCTCCGACCACAAATATACAGTGATTCTCGAGGAGAATGTTCCCAGTCTTCCGGTGGGGCATCCACACCTCTAACATTGAGTACTGCACTGTCAAAGATCACTTCGGATGTGAAGAAAACTGGACCCATATCATGCCATATATTTCTTTCCCACACCATGTTACTTGGCGGCCATCCGGTCGTCACAAATGGTTGAACCATTCTGCAACACATGAAAATACAATTTAAATATATATAAATGAAAGCTCAATGACAACTAAATAACGTACTAATACGTGTAAAGAAAAATGATTAGCTCTTCTTCAAAACCTATTGAAAACCTACTGATCTTCATTACCAACACAGTCTACATGCTGCCATTGCTGTGATGTTGTGTTGTCTTTCTTCCACGTCTTCTTCCATGCGTTCGAATATTGCACAGAAAGACGTTTAGCAATAGGTTGTGGCACCCAATATTCAATAAGAATATGATTGAAAGTTGACGACTTCATATCGTTGTCTACATCGCAAATGACTCTACCCATCCGTACAGGAACTCCCTCATCGATATCATCCTGGGAAGGACGCAAGAGAACGAATTGGCCTTTTTCGACATCCACAATTGGGTTGACCTCCGCCTTTGGACGCTCATTGGCCGGTCCAACGAACAACGGTTCCTTATTCTCATTGCTCTTCAAGAGGAAGGCAATATCAATATCATCTGGATCATCCTTCTTAATTTTGTCTTGTGAGGGTCAGAAGCCAGCCTTGAGTGAAGTTTTCGCAAACACAGACTCGTAATGCTCCTCGCCTGTCTCGAGGAAAGTTTTCCAGTGTGAAAGAGCACTCTCCTTTGAGAAGCTAACCTCATCTTTCATTCCCAACCACTCGTGCCGCTTATTCTCCAACCACCCAACAAACGTCTTCACACCTTCAATTCCCGATTCGAAATCCGAATTCCTATCTTTAGTAGGCAGAGAAGCTGACGACGGAACAGGTGATGACACAAATGGTCATTCAGGTCCAGCATATGCTTTGTTTTCATCTCGTTTAAAGCAATATACTGGAGCAGACCATTCAGGAGAAGTGCAATACTCTTTCCACTGGAACACAGGATTGTCATCATGCATATAAAACCTAAATGCATGTGGACGAGTATGACCGGTGAGTCTCTTGACCAGGAAGGGCTTAACAGCAGCTCGCCAATCAGCAATTTCTTCCCTGAATGTGCACGATGGACGTTCTTTTTGAGAACTGGCAACGAGCTTGAAGAGTTCGAGCATGGTATATGCATCGTGCATTTTCAGTTTGCGAGAGAAATGATTAAAAGTGGCATCAACGTCCGTATATGTGTGTCCCACTAACATAAAACCGAATTCGACTTCTTTGAAGAAACCAAATTTCACCAAGCTGCAGCGAGTGCCAAAACGTATCTGTTTTTTGTTTCTTTCCAACAGTTGTCAACTTGTATCCTCAGTTTAGGAGGCAAGTCGCTCGTCGCCTGGATGTCGCGGGGAACTTTCATAATGGATGACACTACAGCATTAGAATCATGTGGATAGCAAGGGTACCATGTGTGAACATGGACCGATGGTGAGCGGCCGTGTGCAATAATAGCTGTTAGATTCGTTTTCAACATCGGAATATTTACGAATGCCTTCGATTTGTTCTCTCCGCCAAAGTGTTGAATGCTGGTCTTGCTTTGGTCCATGCCGTCAATGATGAAGCACAAACTGTTGGAACCCGGTCTCTTCGACTCATCCTTCCACACCTCATACGCAGTACGATGTTGGAGCTGCAAGTCCAAGTATTTCTCGCGTAACGAAACAAAGTACTCACTCATACGCACGAACTTTGTGGAATTGATAGATTCTTTGTATTCAACACATTTTTCGCATTTCGCAAAGTTTTGATCAATGTCATGAAATTTCACATGCCAGAACTGCGTTCTCCACATGTTGTTAAAAACTTGGAGAGAAACACAAGGAGCACCCGTGTTGTCGAATTGCGACTTTAGCAACTTATAAATATCAACCTTGTTATAGCAAGCAGGCAATCTCAACACCACTCTTGATTCCCCCTCTTTGGTCTTCATGTCATTGGGCATGGAATCTCCGTTGTCTCGCACGAAGGAGCTTAGTTTTCCGTACATCGTCGCATATGTTGCTGATGTGCGTCTGAGTCCAGTACTGCCATGCTCCAGCATATTGTAGCCTTTTGACAAAGTCATCATTTTTTTGAGAAATGTATTCCTACATACACCCAGTGTGAAACACCAAGCAGTAATGCACACCTTTCGTCTCCTCACAATAGGTTGAACAATCTCCTTTTCATCTTCTATGAAGGTGAACCTCTTCAACGTTTCAACCCACCATACATCCCAACTCTGCTGGTTCTTAGCGTAGTATGCGCTCCGGACAGCTTTGATGTCGTCCAGGGTCATTTGAGCACAACACTCTCGCTTACAGCAAACCTGCCCACGCACACTCGCCAATGTTTTTTTGGTGAGTTTTCTATGAACTGATTGCAGAATTTTCTTTAACCGGGGCATTCTGAGACGAAAAGTATAAGGACGCTTCTCTGAGGACAGACGTTTTGGAAAAAAGTCATCGAAATTAGAGATCACGTCACAATTCTCATCGTCATTTCGACAACAGTGGTCACTATTCCGGTCAGCGTACGTTTGCGGAAGATCGGTTTTATCCGGAGAACTATCAGCATTAGACGACACCGAAGCACTTGAATCTGAACCACCTTCATCACCCTCACCAAACAGAAGACCTGTGTACTCGAAATCTCGAAGTGAACTCCTCGGCACCCATACAACACGATCTACATCGGATGCGTCGTTGTCAGTAGAGGAGGCCTTACCCTCCTGACCTTGAGCACTCTCACAAGTTCGAACCGGGCATCGAAGGACGGGATACGCACTTTCACATGTAGTGTCCGCACACGCAATATTTCGTGACCTCTTACGAGCAGGAGATTCCGGAGCATTATCGACATGATCGTGACCACTTCGAACATCTTGTGAACACATTGGCAGGTGCGGTGGAGGAAAATCCTCATTGAGCATTGTATTAGACGCCACACAGTCCATGCTTTCCAAGGTTGTGCTGCAAGCCTGCCGTGGCATAGCATGCACACCACAAGCCATGCACGAGACGTGTCTGCGACAATAAAACAACGCACCACTGTCAAAAGGCGAAAATAAGAGGTCAATGAAACGGAGCAGACAACCATCCCTACACAAGAGCGAGAAACACAACCCTACAAATGACCCTGAGAAACACAGCCCTACACTGAACGGAGGGGAACAGGAAACATCCGAGAGAGGGGATAACACACGACCGTGGAATCTGGGCAGCAATCCTGTCATCAGGCCCAATCCGTGCCAAAGGCGCAATACGCGCGAAAGAGTTTGTCCAAGTCGAAGATTGATCGACAGTGGGAAGCGTAGCACATGTCCAGTCGGGGCACCAGCAACCGGAAACACAGCGTGCAACAACATTGAAAAGGCGGAGTTTTTGACGCGCAACAGGAAACACAGCACATGTCACATCGGACACCAGCTTCGGAAAGGCATAGACCACGGCGCGCCAAACCCAGCGGGCACCAATAGCGGAACGGCGAAGACTCTGGCACGTAGCACACAGCTTGGCACGAGGGCATTGATAGGAAAAATTCTATATTACTCCAGTAACTACAACGACTGGACACCTGTGGTAAGCGTGGTAATCACCACCCACGCAGAGCGGGCAGGAAAACTGCCACGAGTGAGCAGGAATACCATCGTGGCAACACGACCGTACCATCGTGGCGAAGCGACCGCCTCGCCCAACACGGAAGGGTCCCTCGTCTTGATTCCCGGCACGTGTGGTACTCACCACCCACGCAGAGCAGGCAGGAAAACTGCCACGAGTGAGCAGGAAAACCATCGTGGCAACGCGACGGCCTCGCCCAACACGGAAGGGTCCCCCGTCTCGATTCCCGGGTACCGGACTCCGAGGATTCGAAACAAAATTTGCGCAGAGTTCGTTCTACGGTGCACGACGGGTTTCTAGATAGCCAGGCTGAGAAGGCAAACGACTGCGGCGACGCCAATGTCGCCCCCAACACGACAGGAGCTCCATTGTATATTACAAGGTGGGGGTCGTGGCGCAATCTCGCAACAAGCAGTCAGTGCTACAAGAGACAAAAGGCAGTCACCCGGGCACTGTGTTCTGCTGGCTCAACTCGCACTAAACTCTGCGTAAGTCGAAACATAGGTGGGGGTCGAGGCGAAAAAGAGCAGGGTGTTCGACACGACCGTGATGACGTTTGACACGACCAAGACCGCGTTTGATCGTGGTGGACACGGCGACCAGCGTGCTCGACATGACGGTCACCGTGTCAGACACGACGACCATCGTGCCGGACACGACGATCGTCGTCGACGAGCGTGTCGGACAAGAAGACGGCCTTGCTCGATACGATGGCGGTCGTGTGCAACACGACGACGGCAGTGTTCGACACGATGGTGATCGTGTTCGACCCGACGACGATCGTGTTCAACACGACAACCCGTGTTCGACACGACGACCATCACGTTCGACACGACGATGACCGTGTCGGACACGACGACGATCGTGTTTGACACGACGATCGTCGTGTTCGACACGACAACAATCGTGTTCAACACGACGACCATCGTTTTTGACACGACGACCAATGTGTCGGACACGACAACGATCGTGTTCAACACGACGACCATCGTGTTTGACATGATGACCAGCGTGTCGGACACGACAACGATCGTGTTCAACACGATGGTCGTCGTGTACGACGATCGTGTTTGACACGACCACCATCGTGTTGGACACGACAACGA